AACTCATATTTTCATATTTCTTAACATTAAAAATTTATAAAGTTTATGTTTGTCTCATTTACTAAATATTTTTTTTTAAATTGGACTACTATATTTCTAAATCTAAATTTTAGTAATTTCTAAAGAAACTCATATACATATCATACTTATTTGGTTTTTAAAGATTGAAGTGTCACTTGAGGATAAGTAACATTTTAAGTTTGGGGGATTTTAATACACCTAAAATATATAGTATTTTTTGATGCACCTAAAATATATAGTGTTTTTAAACACATTTTATACCTATTTTTGAGATATTGTGTTTTAATGGAAGGTAAGTAAAAAGGTAAAAAATGCTAAAATAAAAAGGTGAAAAATACTAAAAGGAGTGAAAAAAGATCAAATTTGGAGCAAAAATGTGAAAATGGTGCAAAAGTGTTTTGACGCCTAAGCGCTAGATCCGGCGCCGTTTGTATCATATTTTAGGCAGTATTTAAACAAGGTTTAGCTTAACTTCTGTCAAATAGAATTATGGGATTTTAAAATCTATTGTTATGACAAATCATTAAATCATGTTTCAGTCTCATTATTGATTAAATCCCACTACTCAGGATTTAACATAATAAAGGATTTCACTCTCTCACAAATCTTAAATTCCTGGAGGCATCACTTGGAAAATACATCGAATCAGAATATATTTTGAAGAGATACCAACGCACCTCTTTGGAAATTATAAAAGAAGGAAGTTTAGAGAAAAAAATGGTGGGTCATGAGAAGTTTTTTTGGAGAGATTTTTCAGGTACCACAAATTTACTTTATCTTTTTTGTTTTTAGTTTTATTTTGAGAGTTAAGAGTGTTGTAAGAGAGAAGAAATTCAAAGGAAATTCAAGAGTTTGGTGAAGGATTTGAGATAAGTTTTTATCTTTGTTTTTATACTACTTTTGATTTAAATCGAGACTTCTTGTTGGTTTGACAATGATTTCTAATTTTAAACTAAAGTGTGGTTTTGTTTTTTTTATGGATTCTGAGTAGTTTTCGTTATCTTTCTCCTTAAAATGATAAGTAATTAAAGTGTTGGATGGAAGTTGTAGAGAGTATTAATGTGTAATATTGGAAGAAGTTGTGATGATTTAATTTCATGTACTTAATTTACTTCTTGATCTAGTCTATCTATATATTAAAATTTGTTGTGATAACATGTAAGAATCCTTCTGGTATTGTCTCAGTCAACAATTGGAAAGAATCACATATTGGAAAGAATCACACGATGTTGTATGAATGAGAATGTAATTCATCTGATTTAGTGTAAATAAATAAGAAAATAATCTTTGAAGGGTGTAGAATTAGAGGACTTTAAAGTGACAGGGTAAAGCCCCCCAACTTGGTTTATTGTTTTAGGTTCTGACACAAGATGTTAGCCCCTAGGTGGAGGGAATCATGGAAATTCTAGAGTGAGAGCTGGTATCTGTCTTTAGAACTATTCAAACTTTAAATTAGTCAATATTTTTTATAGCATCTCTAGTAACGGTAAAGAATAATATTGCTCCTATTTGGAACAACTCATTTTGCATACTTCACAACAGAATTCATATACTTAATATTGATTCATGATAAGGAGAAAGATATTTCATATTCAGTGTTTTTCTTTTACATAAACTCAAGTTATCTTTAGAAGTTTTTATTGTTTTGTCAAAATATCAAAAATACCAAAAAAGAATTGAATTTTACCCACTATCAACATATCTGTAGTTTAAATAATTGTCTTTCAAAAAATCCTATATTACATGATAACGATATGTATACTTGCGTCTATCATACATGCCACTATTTTATATACATACTACCAAATTGTAAGCCTTCTATTTTTATTTAAAATAAAATTTCCCAAAATTATGACTTGCGAGTGCCACTGCGAGTGATCAGTGGCTTTTTTGAATCTTTGCGAGCTCTCGCGAAAAAATAAGGCAAAACAAAGCACGATTCATCGCGGACCGCGTTGTGAACCGTAAATTTTAGAAAAAGTACTCCTCTCTCCGAGCTCTCCCTCTGCCCCCAATGGCGGTGATCTCGCTATCAAGTATTTTCGCCGCTTTCGGTTGCCGCTTCATAGATCGGCGATTCCCTCTTGTTCGGCGCCGCTCCAACCCACCCCGCCTCGCCGTTTCATCCCGCTTGTTCTCCTCACGATCGTCTCCCTCCGGTACCAACGGATTCCTCGATGACCCACCTCCGTCCTCCTCGGGCGGCGATGTGTTGTACACTGGAGCGCCTCCTTCGCCGCGGTCCACCGAAGGAGTGCCGGTGTTTGTCACGCTCCCTGCGAACGTCGTTGGTCATGGGAGCCGGATTGGGAATCGAAAGGCGATGGTGGCGTCGTTGAAGGCTCTCTCGCTGGCTGGTGTGGAGGGTGTCGTTGTGGAATTATGGTGGGGGATCGTGGAAGGGGAGGCTCCGGGTGTCTATGATTGGAGAGGCTACGCGGATTTGGTGTCAATGGCCAGCTGCCACGGTCTTAAGGTGCGGGCTATCATGGCTTTCCATCAATGCGGATCGGGACCTGGTGATCCTTGCTGGTACGTTTTTTTCTCACCTTCTTTTTGGGAAATTTAATGCTTTGTTCGACCCAAATGTCGTACTTTCTTCCTCTCTATGGTGGACAGGACAGCAATGTGGCTGTATTGTTTATTTAAGACGTATTAGGTCATCGTATCTGGAAATTTGATGCACGCGTGAACACTAACAATGTGATTTATTTCCTGAAACCAAATTCTAACGATGTGATGGATCTAAATTGATGGCTAAATTGAATTTGCGTATGAAACAGAAGAAGTGCCAAGCGTTTGAATCGAAGGTGATATGCCACTAAAAGATTTATAGGATCTGGAACGGATCTTGATACATTTTGGATGAGATAACGTTCACAGTCAAATGTAAAATCGTCCGAACTTTAATTTTAGTAAATTTATTGTTAAACTAAGCATCTCAATAATACAAACCAAACAAAATCAAAAGTGATTCGATTCAAGTTTAAGTAGCTTAAATTAAACACTTGAAGTATAATTAAAATTTTAAAGCAATAATTAAAAATCGAAACAATATATGAATTTAGCATGTAAATAGTGAAATGGAGCCTAAGATCATTTAGTTTCTAGATTATTAAGGCACATAAATGTTGAAAGAAGGGCCTATGATTAAAGTAATATACATGGATAGTCTGTTAGAGTGTTTTAAAATTTTGATCAAATTCACCTAAATGTGAATGTAAAAATTTATAAATGTGCTCATTCTTCATTGGAGAGGAAAAAGAATAATTTGAGAGTTAAATTTGAACTCACAAAAAGAGTTAGAAGCCAATGACTACCAACAAAAGTGGACCATCATTTGCAGCTTTAGTAGTACAACTAATGTCATATTATTATCTCCAAATTGTTGCTGCTTAAGAACTTTTTATTGTTATAATAAAATTTCTTAGATAACCACTTTTATGCTCATACAACTATTGTCATACTACTGATCTTTGATGTTGTTATCTGAGAACTCTTATTATAACAATAGAAAGACAAACAATTGTTAATTTCCTTCTAATTTTATATTCACTTGTTGAGGAGAAGAGTGAAATACTGTAATTTCAATTAAATAGTGTATTATTTCTTCTGGGCAATACCTAATGATTTTTCCTTTTTCAAAATTAGAGTAGTAGCTCTAGCGCAAGTAGAACTAAAGGCCTTCGTTTGAGTAGAACTAAAACCGAATACATGGAATGTAGTTTTAGTAGTAGTAGCTCTAATGACAGAGTTGTAATTCTTTAGAAGGTGTGAATGCTTTAGATATCTCGGGTCTATTGTTCAAAGTGATGGTGATATAGATGGGGATGTTATAAGTAGAATTCAAGTTGGTTGGTTGAAGTGGAGGAATGCATCAGACCTATTGTGTGATAGAAAAGTATTGCTTCTATTGAAAGGAAAATTTTATAAGATGGTGCTGAGACCTACAATGTTCTATGGCGCAGAATGTTGACCTTTAAAAGAGAGGCTTAAAACAATGTTAAGTATTGTCGAGATGAGAATGCTTAGGTGGATGAGTGGCTTGGCACTTATAGACACAGTGCGAAATGAATATATTTGTGATAGAGTTGGTGTAACTCTAGTGACGGCTAAAATTAGAGAGAGTCTTCTTAGATGGTTTGGTCACATTAAATGCTATTGAAAGGAAAATTTTATAAGATGGTGCTGAGACCTACAATGTTCTATGGCGCAAAATGTTGACCTTTAAAAGAGAGGCTTAAAACAATGTTAAGTATTGTCGAGATGAGAATGCTTAGGTGGATGAGTGGCTTGGCACTTATAGACACAGTGCGAAATGAATATATTTGTGATAGAGTTGGTGTAACTCTAGTGACGGCTAAAATTAGAGAGAGTCTTCTTAGATGGTTTGGTCACATTAAATGCCAATCATCTGATGATTCGGTTATGGGAGTAGATGTTTTAGATTCGACTTATGTTAAGAAAGACAGAGGTAGACCTAGAAAGAATTGGGCATATTGTATAAAAAAATATATTGTATAAAAATCTTAATTTATTAGAATTAAATAAAAATATGACAGTCAATAGGACGTAATGGAGAAAAATGATTCATGTAGCCGACCTCATCTAGTGGGATAGAGGTTTGTTGTTTTTTTCGTAAAAAAATTTTATATAAAATATTTTTCTCTTATTATTTTTATTTATGTATATGCTAGATTTTTTTATTAAACCAAATCTTAATTTTCCTCTGTCATCAAGAATTTTCTAACAAGTAACTTGAAGTTTAGTGAAATTTTTATTTAATAGTCATAAGAGTTAAAGTAGATTATTGTGTTAAAACATGTAAATGCCCACAAAGTGGAACGACCTTTTTAAGAATGAGCTTAGGTGCTGATATGGAAAATGTGAATTTGAATGATTATGGTGAAGCAGGCATATCTCATTCTTATTCTAAAATTTTTAGTCTGAACATACATAAGCTTTAAAAAGTGGATGACTAAACTTATTTGTAATTTTTTTATGACCAAGGTGTTGGGATGACTATGAGTGAAATTCAAGTGAACTTGCATTAATTGAAGTTTTAAGTTTCTTTTAGTAGAATGATCGTCTAGTTTTCGGGTTGAACACATATATTTCAATTGTCATGAAATACTTCACAAAAAAATGGCACGCATCCACGAATGTGTAAAATTGTTCAATATATATGCACATACATTATTTATCACATTTATTTATTTATTTAAGAATACTTATATACATCTCTCTCTCTCTCTCTCTCTCTCTCTCTCTCTCTATATATATATATATATATATATATGCCTTTTTGGGAATGATTCTGTTTTGTTTTTTTTTTGCCAGTTCATATAATATCCAATTGGTAAATCAAGACCATTCACCTTTAGAATTTGTCCAATGGAGAATATGTGGAGGATGGATTTTTTTTCCACAAAAAGTATATTCTTCCCTTCATTACTGTCAAAATTATCGAAAATTTCCTCCTTAATATCTTCTATTATTATTTTTAGTAGTTTTTACTTTTAGAAGTAGTTATTGTTGGTAAATTCTATTTACTTTTTCTAGCATGAGAATTTTGTGGCTTTCCTAATGTGGTGGTCTTCCCCTGTTTTTTATCTTGTAATCGAGTCTTAGAAAATTGTAGTGGAATAATTATTTTTCCTCTCAAAAAAAAAACATGGTATCGGAGCCCATCTTCGCCATCGGAAAGGCGACCCAATCCCGTTGAGATCGTCAGTTGTTTTGCTGCATGACTTCTATTTCTCAATAAACAAGATTGCGGTTGAGAAGGCAACAACTGTATTGTGGCATTCATAGACCTCTTGCGAGACAGCCGAGATTAGAGCTCGCTAGGAAGGCATCGACTGGATCCTGACATTTAGAGGCCATTGCGATACAACCACAATTAGAGTCGGTTGGGAAGGCAACGACTGGATCACGGCGCTTGAGAACCTTGGCGAGAAAATCACAATTATAGCTCGTTGGGAAGGCTAGTTTGTATCCCTAACAACTTCCTCACGATTCTGCCTTCTAGGGCTCTTGCCTATCATGTCATAGAGGATTTCAGCTCCTTTTCGCGCCACTTTGATGTCGGAAGCCGCTTCTCAACGTGAGACTTTTTTTCGGCATGGATTTTCTCCGCCACCTCTAATTTTTTTACTTTTTCTTCTGCCATTTTTTTTTTGGGTGGCAGGCTTCTTCTTTACTGGTTTCTTCTCGGTCTTTCGACTCCATTGTAATTTGTAATTTTATGGAAGGGGTACTTCTTTCTTTTCCTCTCCTCTAGTTTTTGTGGAGAAGGATTCCGTGCCTGAGTGTTGTGAACCGGATAATAGTCAATCTCTTTCAACCCCTTTGGCTTCTTCTCTGTTGGAGTCACCAACTCCTTTTCTACTTATAGCTTTAAGCACCGAAATAACTCACGACCAAAATCGGCTAGAATTTTTTTACTCATCATTTTCTCTTCTTTGATGATGTCTTACAAGTCGGCAATGACCGACTCCTAAAGATATCCTATCATTTTTACTGGCTCTAGTAATTCCAAAACCAATTTGCCTTGCCCCTGGCGGTGCAAACATAGCAATAAATCATGGCATAATAAGTAGGAATGCTAGAATTAACAAGTTGGAGACCAAAATTTAAACGTAAAAATCGGACCTATCATGCCAATAATAATGAAACTCAACAGTCTTCTACCAAATTTGATACAATACCTTTTACGAAGGAGAAAATAAAGCACTTGCACAAGTTGTCTAGATCTCCAAAATCACCACTAACTTTGTATTGTTCTTCAGTACCGAAGGGTAACTGTATTATTAGGTGTTAACCCTAATTTTATTCATTCTTGGATAATTGATTCTGGTGCAACTAATCATATGACTGGCTATTCTAAATTATTTTTTTATTATAGTCCTTGTGTAGGCAATACAAGAGTTAAAATTGTCAGTGTTTCCCTCAGTAATTCCCAAGGTAGGAACTGTCAAACTCACATCGTTGTTAACTCTACGTGTTGTGCTCCATATTCTTAATTTGTCTTGTAATCTATTGTCCATTAACAAAATTACATATGATTATCAATGCAAGTTAATTTCTACTCATCTTGTTGTGAGTTTCAGAAATTGACTAATGGGAGAATGATTGCATTGCTAAGGAAAATGATGAATTCTATTATTTTGACTATAGATTTGATGTGAAAAGATAATTTCAAGGTACTTGTTTAAATTCTAGTTTTGTTTTAAAAAAATGATCATATGCTATGACATTATAAGTTAGGTCATCGTAGCTCAATATTTAAAATTCTTTTTTTCTAGTTTATTTTAAAATAAAAATTTGTCATCTTTCTAATGTGAAGTCTGTCAGTTTTTCAAATATCATCGTTCGTGTTTTCCTCAAATTTACAAACCAGCTACACATTTTATTCTAATTTATGATGATATATGGGATCCTTGTAAGTATCTTACGCACTTTGGAAAAAATGGTTTGTTACTTTTACTGATGATCACAGAAGGTTAAGTTATTTGTATTTAAGTGAAAA